GTTTAACTACCTGCCCCACACCAACTGCCTCCCTGACCCATCAACAGAGGTCTCAGCACAAAGTCCCCAAACCTCCCTCATTTCTGTGCTGTGGCTTCCTTTTTCCATCTTTAGTTCACTCATAAAATGGGAACCACTGATGGGACATCTGCATGTACGCAGACAAGACTCCTGTTGCTTGCATCCTCATACCACAGGGGTAAGGACAGTCCCGAGAAACAACCAAGGGAACAGGCCACGTGACTAACTGAACAAGAACTTCTGGGGAAGGAGCATGCATCCCAATTTGCATATGCAAATAAGAACCTCCCAGCACACTTTGGAGGAAGAGGGCAGGAAGCAGGAAAGTTGAAGATATGAGGTGGGGGAGTGTGGCTTGAACTTGTCGGACACTCCCCTTCCTGGTGCAAAACGCCTGCTGAGCTTGCCTTGCTTGATGGTTGGGGATGCTGCCCTTCCCTGGGGATGGCAAAAGGCAGTGTGTCTGGAACAGCTTAGGGTTTCCTCAAATTGCTACACGGTCCTTACAAAATGGCAGTGTTTTCTAAAACCAAGCTGCACCTCTGAGAGTGCCCCCTCCTTTCTCAACACTGAGGCCACCCTCCTCCAGCTCAGCTCCAGTCCCAGCTGTATGCTTTGTCCCCTCATTCCCTTAACACTTAGGGTTTCTGCCTCTTCTCTTACTCTCCCTGCTGGCATGAGAAAGTTCTCAGAGCTCAGATCACCCCTCCAATGTCCCTGCAACTCCCTCACCTTTACAACATTTAAGAAACAACATAATTACAGGCTCCCAGGATCCACTAGGCTCTCTCACTCCGGTAGCCAACACGACAGATTCACTGGCCACCTTGAAGGGAAAGAGGGATTGTTAAACGCAAAATGATGGAGGCAGAGAAAGATGCACTCGAGGATTCAGCCTTCCTAGGTCTTCTCATGGCACCAAGGAGCCATCTCTCCGCCCTCCACCTCACGCAGTTCACCACCCAACGTGGGAGAGCTGCTCTGGTGCGTCTGAGGCCAGCGGGGGCGGGGGAGGGCCGTGCTCAATTATTGATAATAATAATTATTATTATAATAAACAAAAGAAGAAAAAGGTAAAACAGGACGCAAGGAAGGATTATCTTCGGCAGCATCTTGCGGTGGCTTCTCTGGCAGAGATAGAGAATATATATCTATATACAGGCAAGGCAGGGAGGCTGGGGTAGCCGGTCCTATGATCTTTCACCCCACGCCCCCCTTCCCTCCCTTGACCCTCACAAAGGAGGGGCTCTTGAGTCTGTAACGCACTAGGTGATCAAGTCCCAGTCGAAATCGTCAGGTATTTCCTCATTGGCGCCTGGAGGAGGCCCAGGAGGCCGAGGGACCAGGTGGTGTGCTGAGCAAAGAGGGGAAGAAGGAGAGAAGAGGAAAGTGGGGGTTAGAGAAATAAAGTCAGGTTGTTCCCCCAGTGGGCTCCTGGGAACAAAACAGGAAAGATCTGGGCATTATGAGTTTCCTCATGGCAGCATCCTGCCAGGGCAAAAGCAGTATGAGTTCCCCACCCTGGCAGCACAAAATTGCCACCTCTGGGCAATGCCAGACTAGGAAGGGGAAGGGAGGTAGCCATTGCAGTGTGAACCTCCCCACAGCACTGCTTAAAGGGTTTAAGGCTTTGGCCTCATGAGTTCTCCTGACAACAGTGATCAGTCAGCATCCAACTGGGAGGTGCAAGAGGCTTTGGCAACATGAATGTCCTCACTCCAGCACTCGGTGAGCAATCAGCTCAGGTAAAGAAGTGTAACTGGGGATTGAAGTTCCTCATGTGTGGTGAAAGAAGTTGGGGAACTGAATTTCTTTTCAGTGATGCCAGGCTCTTGGGGGAAACTTTCTGCAGCCTGGGCTCCCTCTCACTCTCCTCTGACAGCCAAGGTAGAAGCCCCTGCCAGCAGGAGCTCTGGGAGGGCTGAAAAGGCTGATGTGGGGGCAAGTTCTTCAACATTCAGCCACATAACATGCCCTAGTGTCACTTCTTACCTGGGCGATTATATCCTGGAGAGTCCTGGGTGGAAATCTGGTACATAGGAGATGGCCCAGAGAAGAGATGGGGAGGTTGAGGCTGACCATAAGAATTCACTGTCAAAAGGAAGGGATAAAGAACTGTTAGGGACGCAGTCAGCTCTCCCACACCTTGGAGGACTTAGGAAGGGTAAAATCATCAGGCCCTTCCCATGAGTCACAGGTCAGCCAGGTTGCAGCTGCCACAAAATTTGGGAAGATCTCCATATGATACCAAAATGAGGTATTCTAACCAGCCGTCCTCTGTCCAGTGTCAGAAGCACAGGTGTAACCAGGCCAGGATTTGGCCCTTTCTGAATTCTCCCTCTAAGAACATCAACCTTCTCCCACTCCAGAATAGCCTCCCCTGCACCTCTTCACCTCACCATTTCTTTCCACCTGCTGTCTACACAAACCACCCCATATACCTCTGAGATTTTTACTTTCTTCCTGCCTCAAGTTTTGCTTTCAACTCTATGCCCCAGGTAACACCTTCACCCCACTGGGTGCTGTGTTTAGGCCTCAGACATCCCTAACTCTCTAACATCAGGCTGTTCCCTACAACCCTATGGCTGTGGGAACAGCTACAACAGAGATCAGGCAGATCTCTGAACAGTACTGGGACACTCCGCTTCATCCACTTGTATAGCACCCGGGTCCCCCACCCACCTGCCCTGCTGGGTACCTTGATTCATGGACTGCTCCTGCTTGCCGCTATTCAGGGCACAAGAATCAGAGATCCGAGGGGGCTGCTGTGGGCCCCCCAGGTGAGGGAGCTGACCAGTCTGGGTGAGAAAGTGATTGAGGGAGTCACAGAGGTTGGCAATGTGGTGCTGATCCAGGGTCCAGTTCTTCCGCTCCGCCTGGCGCAGGCTCTCCATCAGCTCTGCAAGGGGAAAATCCCATCACTGCCTGCTCACTGCTCCTTCCCATCCCTGAGTCATTCCCCTCCGTCATGCTCCTATCTTACCATCCTCACTCATAATCCAGACATGGATCTATTCAGGTTCCTGCCCTTAGGAACTTTACGATTAATCCCAAAAATCATATGGAGAGCCTCCTTTTTCTCTATCTGGGGTGCTCTGTCTGAATCTTGAGCAGAGTGGGAAGCAACAACGGTGCAAAAAACACTCATCTGCCATCTGTCTATGGCAGGGGTTCTCAACCCCCAGGCTGTAGTGGGTCAGATGCTGGTCTGCAGTACGGTCAGCTGCCAGACCGGAAGTGGCAGTGGACTGGCAAACCATGGCCACCCAGAGCCAGGCAGAGAGGCCATGGTTCTTTCTGCAGGGACCACAGCAGTGCAGGGTGTGCCCCACTGCCCTCCACCCAGGGGTAGGGCTATTCTTACCTATCTTCTGGCCGGAAATTCCAGCCATGGTCGGCTGTGACTGCTGGACTGTGGTTTGCTGGGCTGCGGCCACTTCCAGGCCGCAGCATAACAACTTTGAGAACACCTGGTCTATCGTATGTCTACAGCCCCCTTACCCGGATGTCTGAGGACCTGAACACCTGAGCATCAATGCATCTACCTGCACAACACTTCTGTGAGGTAGAGGAACACTAATGGATCCCCCTTGCACATAAGGAACTGGGTCACCAAAAGTCCAGTGACTTGTCCAAAGTCAGACAAGAAGTCTGTAACATAGCAGCAAATTGTACCTGAGTTACCCCAGCCCAAAACTAATACCCTAATTCCTGGGCTGAGCTACTGACCTGAGAACTGGGAGTTTTCAATGCTAGACCAGTTCAGCCGGTTCACCATCTTGAAGCTTTCTTTCAGGGAATCAATACTGGAGCACCAGTCGGGAGGAAATGCTGGAATGCAAGGGAAGCAAGACCCTTGTATCGGGGAGTAACATACCAGCCCCCCACCCTCCGATGCAAACTAAAAATAAAGCCAGACTGGGTATGTCATTTGCCAATGAAATCTGATGCCACCCTTGATAGGGATCCCACCACCTCACAGGCAGCAAGGTGGGATTCAATCTCCCTGTTCATTCAGGTCTGGGCTCCACCCTCATTTCCAGCTCTAAACAGGACCCTAGGCCTAGGACAAAGGGACTGCTCTCTCCAGAGGCAGGAGGGCAATGAAGTCTCCAAATCCAGCCACACCTGGGTTTCACCCCCCAACACAAACACACACTATTTCCCTGCCTTTGTGCTGGGGCATGAGGTGGAGGGGGGCTACTGACTAGCTGAGTCCTTGTCTTGGCTGTTCTGGGGAATGCAGGGAACTCTAATGCTCACCTAGTCCCCTGAGCCCCAGCAGCTCCCTCCACCCTCTGCAACCTACCAAAGCCAGCACTGTTGATTGAAGCCTGTGACTGCTGCTGCTGCTGTTGGTGCTGCTGTTGTTGCTGCGGGTGGGAGTGTGGGTGGTGCTGCTGGTGCTGGTGGTATCCACCATGCTGCATCGGGGGCGGGTGCATGGACATCACAGGTGGGGGGCCATAACCATCACCCCCCTGCTGTTTACCCCCCTGGGGTGGGCAGCCCTCTGGGTTGGGGGTGTGGAGTTGGGGAGCACCACCCACTGATGAAGGGCCCTGCTGCTGCTGGTGGTACATATAGTAGTTGTGGTTGGAGGGCTGCATGTCACCAAGGAGAGAAGAGAAACCTGAAGGAGGAGGGTGGGGAGGGAGAATGAGAGGAGAGAGTTAAAAGATACAGGCAAGATGGCTGCCTGGCTCAGTCCCCTGCCACCCCCATCACCCAGCAAGTGCATCTACACATGCTATTTGCATGAAGCAATAAACTCCAGAACAACGTTGCACAAGAGTTTATTGTTCCTGGGCACTTTGTCTTCATGTATGCCAGGGACTGCAGCACGTTGAGGTGGACTGGAGCAGCCCTGGCTGGCAGGGGTTGGGGTGGGGGGCAGG